AAACCACCATAGAGCTAGGGTTTCACCTCCAAGCATGAGATAAAGCATCAATGAAGCTTCAATATCACTCTCACTTAATTCTCACACTTTACTCTTGTTATTTCTCACACTAGAATGCTCTCACCAATGAGAGAGAGAACAAGGAAATTTAAGAAGGGTGTGCCGCTCTCTCTATCTTTTCTTTCTCACTCTAAAATTTCATATGATGTAGTGAGAGACAAATGGGAGCGGTACCACTTATCAAGAGAGAGACAAATAGGAGCGGTACAACTTATCAAGAGAGAGACGAATGGGGTATGCACCACTTATGGAGAGAGAGAAACAAATGGGGGGTGTGCCACTTATGGGAGAATTCCAAGCTCAAATGAGTGATCAAGATGCCTTTCATAGGCTCGTGCAGTAGATCCTTTTAGATGAGTAAATATTGGCCATTGACACAAGTCATCCATGGCATGGGAGAGGGCATGATCCTAGCTACTCCTCACTCATCATGCTATCTTGAATGAGATTCAATACCATTATCCTCCTAATAAGCACTAAATTCACTCCAAATTTCCCTTCATTAAACTTAAACATGAATTCACATGAAATTCAACTTGTTTCCAGAATTACCCATGCTATCTCAAATTGAGATTATGAATTAAATAGAATGAGAAAGCCTAGGGAGAAGGGTGTCCATCATGGAATTATGAATTCCTTCTAGAAACAATTTGAATTTCAAATTTCCCACCTATTCCATGTCATCTAGGTATACATGTGCAATTGATCATATGATGCCATATGGGATAGGTGGTTATGATCTTAATCCCAAAACAACTTAGGGTTTCAATGATAATTTCAAACCCTATATATATTTTTAAAGATCACCCCATATGCACACAACCAATCAATTTCCTATAAGAAATAATACAATTTCTAATTTTCTCAAAATACACATAAAACATACACAATTTAGCAAATTACAAGATGACAAAACAGTCTCCTATCGTTTCATGTCACCGCCATGTCATGGCCATGCCTATATTCCACACCCATATTCCACGCCCCACGTCATGCCCATGCCTATATTCCATAACGTGGAGCCACACAACCCTTGGCCATTTGGGTGTTACATGTGGGACGTAGGGGGTGTGACCTTTGTCTTTCCTCCAAAATAATTTCAAATTATCAATATTTTCTCCAAAAATTTCAGAAAAAATCTCAAAAATTCCAAAAAATTCTCCAAAGCATATTTCATCGTATTTATTCAAGTTGGCATCATATTAAAATATTAATAAGGGAAAGATTTTATGGAGATAAATTGAGCATCATCATCAAATCCTTTCTTCTCTTTACTCTCTTTCTTTACATATTTATAAAGAAAACAACTCTATAACCTAATTGTTCCATAAGAAACCTTAACTAAATCCCAGCCCTTCATCTTAAAAAACAAATAGAGTTCTAATTTTACCCCTCAATTCTCCACAATTAAAAAGATATAAATGCCCCTATAGAAAACTAGACACCCAAAATAACCACAAACCTAAAATCTAGAAAGTAGTAAGTAAAAAAAAAAAATTAAAAAAAAAACCTCTTTACAACAGGGACCCAAACTTAAAAACCAAGATAATAACCAAACTAATGATTTTCTTTATATATAGACAGCTAGCAACACAACTATATTTTCAATATAATCACATTGCTTATTGGTTGTAAATAAAAAGACCACTACTTTAAGGAGCAGATGTAGTTTTTTCTTTTTTGGGGAAATTATTAAAGAGCAAATATAGTTTTAAACTATACATACTCTTCAAGGTTGGGAGCAAGATCCCTAAAAAGTTAGGATCAAGGTCCCTAAAGGTTGGGTCAAGATCCCCAAAAGCTTGTAATCTCGATCCCTAACATTTAGGGCCCTTTATCCCTGACATATGCAGTAGGGATGATAATCCAACCATAGGGATCTTCCAACATTTCACAATCACCTACTCTCGATCTCGATCCCACTCCCAGTCCCGTTCCCGTTCCCGATTCCGACAACTATGCTACAACCTACAAAATAATATAATCATCCCTTCCATAGAGTTATACTACTCTCAAATATCCACATCAAATCGCATATATGCAACTATATGAACTATAATAAACAAAGGAACCTCCATTTATGGAGAAGGAAGACTCCTAATATCACAACAAAAATACCCATTGCTTCTTGTTTTTCTCGCACGCCCATAAATCATCAATCTATTCCTCGAGTTAGCCCCTCTGTGGAGACATAAGCTCCAAGGACCTTGAACAAAAAACCAAAGAGCAACTGCTTGAGCTACAGATACATTTCTCATAAACAAAATTGGGCTCCGTTTGATTCAAAAAAATTGGAATTTATTAAATATTTTGAAATTACAATTGACTTATTCTTATTTATCTTATGGGGGTGTTTGATTACTCTAAAGTGATAATGCTATTGAGTAATCTTTAAGCTAAATAGCTAGTTTGATTATCTTTTTTAAATTGCAATTGGGTGTGGTTCTAGAGAGAGAGAGTCTTAGCACCATTGAAGAAGAACCTATTATCATTTCGATCGAGATGAGAAAAGCACTAGCAAGGAACATCTTGCTGCAAACTCAATAGGACATGGTTTATCTGCCTTATAGCACTGCATTTGTAGCGAGAAACACCATGGGAGAACTTGAAAATTCATAGCTTTGCCCCAAATGGTTACTACCCAAAGCTCATTGGCTCAAAGCCCGCAAACCCATTTGGTTCAACAGGTGCAAAATTGTTCTCATCCCTAGAGAACCCTAATTTAGGTACCGACCATGAAAACCCAGCGCCCTTTTTTGTCAATAATTTTTGCATGGCATGGAGAATCAGAAGGGCAGAGCTCAGAAGAAGGAGATGAAGAATTTGGGGATTTAGAGTTAACTTCATCAAAAAAAGGAATTTGGGGATTTAGAGGAGACGAAGAATTTGGGGATTTAGACGTGTTTGTTCTAGAGAAAGAGATCGAGTTTCTCTGGGTTTTAAAAAGAGAAACAGGTTTGGGTTGGGCTGGGTTTAGAGAGAAACACATTTGTGTTGAGCTAAAAGTTGCAAAACTGGTAAAAGGAGGGAGAGAGAGAGATAGGAAAATGTACTCGGTCATTCACAGTGGTGAAAAAGAAGAACGCACCCTTTTATTTAGAGATGAACTTTGCTTCTTTGGTCTTCAATTTGGTGAGCTTCAAATGAAGAGATAGAGGGAAGGAGAGAGAACTGCCTGGCAAATGCAATTGCAAAAAATTTTGCAAAATGAGTCAAAGTTGTTTTGCTTTAAGGTCATTCTGCTAATGAACAAAATACTGCTCCGGTAAATCAAACAGTGCAGCTTCCATTTTGAGAGTGACGAAATTCCCAAAAAGCACAACTTACAATTTGGACGGGCTATCAAATGGGCCCTTAGTATTCATTTTTTCTTTCCATTACACTATAATAAAGCTATACCGACAAACTAGGTACAAAACCTCTTTCCCCTACATGGATAGTGTATTAATGCATCAATTACAATTATAAAAAAAAAATGTGGTGAGGAGGCCTCCTTATCTCAATCCAAGAAACCCAATAAATTTTCCTTAAGACCCCATTACACAAGAGAGGCAAATAGTAACAAGATGTGATTCCATACCTGTTAGGCTGTTACTTGAATTGCTCTCAAAACCATCCTCCTTGAAAAATGTGCTATGTACATAGTCTAGGTTTTTCTCCAAGTCTATTTTGACCACAATTCTCAAGGACGCATCCCATCAACTACGATTATAGTCCCACTACATTTTATTCCTTCTCATTGAGGCACCTAACTAGCAGAAATAGCACTATGCAGAACAAATAAATTAGAAAAACTCGTGCTCCCCATCCTTAAGCCTCTACATTATTACTAATGCTTCTGATGGCCTTCTCCAGCGTATCTTCTCATATAACTCAGTGTATTGTATATCCGTATTAAGTTTCGTTCCATCCTAACTTCCCTAAAAGAGAAAGTTTCCTCTAGTGTACTGTTGTTCCGATCAAAGCTGATAAATGTTTGCTCCTGTCCAATTTTGTTGTTTTCTCCACAAGTTTCCTTCTTCCAAGTTCTCAAGACCTGTATTATGATACGAAACCAAGTGATGGAATACCAATATCAGCAATTGCTTCGAAATATACCATGTTGATCATGACTGGTTCTTACAACTGCTTTCCCCTAATGAAGGCATTCAAATTTCAGAATTTGCAGAAGCGGGGACAAATTTTGAACTGCATGACAGAAGATTAGAAGAATTTCATGGCAATCAAGAAATTTTCATTTGGGATATAATACCTTTGAATCAATAGGGAAAGATATATGGATACAAGATAGCATTTGTTAAGGGTAGAATAGATCTTCTTTACGTCCTACCAAGAATTATTATAAAAAATGGCCAAAAGGTTTGTGAGGGAATAGCAAATGTAAACCTCAAGAACTGACAACTTAATTCAGGCAAATGAATAGTCGTAAAAAATGGAAAAATGTGTAGCGGCTATTAATTAGATGCATTAAATGTTATTCTCCTATGTAAGAAGTATAGTGTTTCGACACTGCCACCATTGCATATGGCTGCAGATGGCTGCAGACTTTGCGCCACCCAGTAAGAACAGACAGCACCTACACTAACATGGCGTCAACGCATCTTGTGATGTCTAATTTTTTATGGCATAAAAGGCAGCGGCTGCATGAAACCATGGCCGTGCCAAAACCTCACATATGTAAAAATCAGCATCTTCCAATTCACAAGAATAAAAGAAAATAGAAAAAAAGCATACTTCCAAATGGTTAGAACAAAGTTGATATCTAGTGTAAAAGATCCATGTCGAGAGGAATCAAAAAAAGGACTGATGGTAAAGTGCAACATTCCCACCTAAGCTATTGTTTAAGTGACAGCTTAGTTCACCTGGATTATGAACTACAGGAAATATCTGAAAACATAAACATATATGAAAGGAACAAGAAAGGACGTTTGATGAAATACCTGAGAGATTGTCTTGTTAGTTTCATCGAACAACTCTTGCAATAAAAGTGAACTTCCCCCATGGAGGATAGTTTATTTATATCTGGATCAAACCAAATCTAGATGAAAACATAAACTTAATATGCATTTACATTATTTTATGTTCTCCCAAGCATGAAACAATTGGGAAGATACGATAGAGCTATATATCATTAGAAAAGACAATAAAGAAACAAGAACATATCAATGGCATGTATAGGAGAGTTTTATATTTCCTCAACGAGATTCTAAGACATGATGAAAACTCATACAACATTGAATGCCCACACAAACTAGAAACATGCACGCACACACAATCTGAAAACTAAATGACTAGTAAAATAAAATCATAAAAAATCAGTTCTTACCGGTATCCATAATCCCATCTATGCTTCCTTCTTGATCCTCTGTGTCTAAGATCAACAAGAAAAGAAGTGGTCAAAGCTATATGTCTACATTGTTCAACATAGACTTTCATTTTGAGTTACCCTTAGGTTTAGGTTTAGTACTGTCTCTCTCTCTCTCT